CTGCTGCCCATGCCTGTGCCCTGTGCAGCCCAGGCTGTCCTACGGTGGCCCTGCCCTGCGCCTCTGTCCCTGCAGGCTGTCGGCATCCCCCGGCTGCCCCACCTGGCTGGGCCCTTCCTTTGCTGGCAGCTCTGCCTCCTGCCTGCCTCTGCCTGCCCACACAAAGCCTGGGGCTGACCCAGACTCCTTCTGGGGGATGTGCTGCACCACAGCCCTGCCCTGGGAGGGAAATTCCTGTCCCCTTGTGTCTAGTCTGGGCCTCACCAGCTGCCCTTGGCATCGATTTTTTTGGTTCTCTCTGGCTGTTCTCTACTACATTAAAAGCATCCACCATCTCTGAAACCACCCTTCAGTCCCTCCCAGGTCTCTCCTCTGCTGTCCTCAGTCTCCACCCCACTGAGCACAGAGCTCCTCTGTCCCTGTACAGTGCTCATGTGCTTGAGGCCATGGCTGCCTGGACAAGAAGGATGGTTCTTTTCTGCAGGGAGGAAACCACAGAGCCCCAGGGTTTTGAAGGCAGATCAGAGGCAGTCACCCAAGGCCAAGGCAAGCCAGACCTGTCTGTCCTTGCAGCTTTTGTCTGAAAGCAACCCTTGGATATTTGGTGAGTTTTGGAGGTGGAATTCCATTTCAGCCATGAGTGCTTGGACCAGAATGACAGTTCTTCGCCACAGGAAGGAAAGGGCAGAGCCCCAGTGTTGCAAAGGCTGATTAGAGGCAGCCCCAAGGAGGCCAAGGCCAGCCAGACCTGTTGGTCTTGGCAGTGTTTGTCTGGGAGCTGTCCTTGGATATAAGGAATTTTGGAGGCGGATTCCCAATTTTGGTTATGGACACCTGCATTGAAAGATGTTCTTTTCCATGAAAAGAAAAGCACACCCACCCTCCCCCCCATTGTTTTGAAGACAGATGAGAGGTGGCCCCTAACATGCCAAGGCCATCCAGAGCTTTCTGTTCTGGCAGGTATTATATGGGATAATCTGTAGATTTAATCAAATATGGAGGTAGAATCCCAATTTCAGCCACGAACCCCTGGAGGAAAAAAGAGAGTTCTTACCCACAGGAAGAAAAGCACACAACTCCAGGGCTAGATGAGAAGCAACCCTCAACATGCCAAGGTCAGCTGGACCAGTCAGGCCAAGCCAACCAGAACTGTTCCATGTTCTTGGATCCCTGGAGCCCTGCAGCATCACAATGTTCTCTTGGTTCCATGAGGACCCGTAGTATGACAAGAGATCTTTGTTTCCATAAGGCCCAGCAATACCACAATGGTCTCCTTGGCTCTGCAGCGGCACAATGGCCCCTTGCTTCCATGAGGTCGTGCAGTGTCAAAGTGGTTTCCTTGGTTCCATGGAAATGCACAATGGCACAATGGACCCTTGGTTCTATTGGGCTCTCCAGGATCACAATGGAGCCTTGGTTCCACAAAGCCTGGCTGTGTCACACTGGCCCCTTGCTTTCATGAGGACCTATAGTGTCACACTGGCCCCTTGGTGCCATGGGGACTCAGGGTGCCAGAATGTTCTCATTGCTTTCTCAAGTCCATGTAGTGTCACAAAGAGCTCCTTGGTTCCACAAGGCCCTGCAGAGCCCCTTGATTCAACAAGGCTCAAAGTGCCATAATGGTCTCCAGGATTCCATGAGGCCCTGCAGTGTCACAACGGCTCCTTGGTTCCATGAGGCCCTGAAGTACGGAATGGCCGCTTGATTCCATTGGGCCCCTCACTGTCACATCAGTTCACAGTTCCATGCAGCCCTGTAGTGTCACAATGGTCTCCTTGGTTCCAAAGAGTAAGAATGTCCTCGTGGTCTCATGGAGCCCCACTACGATCCCCTTGATTCCATGAGGCCCTGCCGTGCTACAATGAGCCCTTGGTTAAACGAGGCCTTGCAGTGTCACAATGGCCCCTTGGTTCCAGTGGGTCCAGAAGTGTTCTAATGGTCTCCATGGTTCCATGAGACCCCAGAATGTCACAATGGACTTTTGGTTCCGTAGGGTTCCATATGCAAACAACAGTCTCCTTGTCTCCAGAGTGTCATAATGAATCCTTTGTTCCATAAGGCACCTGGCCTTCCACAGCCTCTCAGAGACCATTTACCCCTCAAGGTCCCCAACAGCCCTTCATGGCCCCTCAGAGCCCCTCATGGCCTCTCATGACCCCTCACAATACATCACAGTTCACAGCCCCTCATGGCCCCTCACTGCCCCTCACAGCCCCTCTCAGCCTCTCAAGGCCCCTCACAGCCCTTCACAGCCCCTCATGGCCACTCACAGCCCCAGGCCTGGGGCTCCTCCAAAAGGAGTAGGGGTCAGGCCCTGCTTGTTCTCCTTTTATTTCGGTCCCGGTCAGGAGCAGCAGCAGCGCCGGCCCCTTCCCACCTGCTCCTGCCTCGGCTCCCAAGGGCTTTTTCCAGCTCAATTCTGGACTAGAGCAACAATCACCCACACACAGCCCTGACTCCTCAGGGCCTGCCTGTGCTGCCCTGAGCCAGCCCTCAGAGAAAGAAAGGATCGGGTTCCAGCACTGTTTTCAGCACTGTTTTACTCACCCTGAGGTGACAGCAGGAGGCTGCTGCTGCCTTTGCCTTGGGAATTGGAGATCATGGCTGCTCTTGCCCCTCTTCTGCTTGCCACTTGAAATTTATCTGTAAAACTGCAATTGCCTTTTTTGATCAGCGCTACCCAGAGTGCATTTGTGACAGTGAATTTTGGAATCCTTAAAATCAGAGGGGTTTGAGAAAGCTGAAAAAGGCAGACCTTAGAGACAGCAGAACTGTGATTAGAGCTAAGCGGTAGCCATAAGATTTGTCAGCAGAAAAGTTATAATAGAAGTAGAAAGTAAGGACAAATAGAACAATGGTCTGTGTATTAACGCTTGGTAGACTAACTCCTTAAGCTACAGAGAAGTATATCTAGTGAGATATTAGGAAGTTCTAAGCTTGAGCTCTGTGCATTGTGTTTTAAGGCTTACAAGCAGGTATTGTACTCAAAATAAGCAAGCACTGTTTTAACCAAAGGTACCTGTGCTTATAGTGGTTGGATGGAACTACTGTCAATATGCTTTTGCTTTGTGGGATTGGTAAAAAAACTTTTAAAGTAAGTTGTAACATTGAGTTCTTTGTCTGCTGCTGAGGACATGAGCTGCTGGCATCTTCCCATTGTCATAACCATGTAATGAGACTGATGCTGGAAAATGAACAGCTCAAGACACGTTCCTCAGCAGTCCCATCCTGTTGGCAATTTGTTCATAGCCCCCGGCCGGCAATAGGTGAACTCAGGCTTTTGGTCACAGGCATCATGATTAGCAGATCTTGAAATGCTCTCAAGTCCCTGAGCACTAAGTCAAAGACAATTAAAGGCGCCACACAGGCCACATTTGCAGTGCTCAAACACAGCCCTGTTGCTGCTGCTGCTGAAATAGAATCAACTGACAGAGGCCATCACAGAAACTGCCTGTGGAATTGCTTTTCATGAACTGACTGTACTCTTGATTTATATCAGTGCTGGAGATGTAGAAGCATCTGAACTGAACACTGAAACAAACTCTCTCTGTCTGCCCATTTTCATGTCCTACATCACTTTCAAGATGTCCATGGGGATGTTGGAATGATTATCACACAGCTCTCCCTTTTTGGCTGCAGGCTCTGGAGATTCTTTCTCTGCATTCAGTCAGGCTTGCATTCCCTAACAATTCCTGGGAGCCCATCATATTTTCTTAGGGTAGAACAGTAACAATGAAAACCTCACCAATGGCACAAGTGCCCAGCCCACAAGGAAAAGAAAGAACAAGCTGTAAAGTTCTTCAAACATTTGTCCTGCTTTGCTGCAAGAGTCGTGCTGCTCGCACGGTGTGGAAAGCCAAGAGAAGCCGCAGTTGGCGGCACATCTTGTGACAGAAGCTGCACCTGGTTCTCCAGGAAAGGTTCTTGGAAAGAGCAAACAGGACTGTGGACAATATTCTGGAAGAACTGAAAGAGCTTTTAAGAAATGAAATGAAAACAGAAAGAAACAAACCAAGATGTTTTACTGTATTTATTTTTATGCTCCCCTTTGCATTATTTCTCCATGCCATTAATTCCAAATCGATCTCACCTCTAAGATCCATGACGTGGCATGTTTTAGACACTGTCAAATACCATGAGCTATACACAGTTTGCCTTCCTCTGCTTTTTTTTTTTTTTTGGAAAGCACTGCTGGAGAGATAAGTGCAGTGCTTGGGTCAGGTACAAATTCTGCATTCAGGGAATGCGCTCCGATAGTGTTTGACCCTCAGCAGGGACAATGCACAGCAGCGACTGAGGGGATTCCTGTGCCGCTATGCAGGAGTCCAGACTCTGGGTCTTGGCTGAACAGGGCAAAGTTCCCGTGTTTGGACAGGCTCAGGGGCTGCCCCCGGGAGCACGGGGCTCGGCACAGGGGCGAGCGGGCAACGGACAAACGGACACAGGGACAAACGGCCCCAGAGCTTCAGTTGCAGCGGCAGCAGTGAAAGCAGCGGCAGCAGCGGCAGCAAAAGCAGCGAAAGAAGCGACTTTGTCAACACCCTCTTGATTCTCCTCTCCCTCTCCCGCAGTCCCGAACGCTCTCCCGCTCTCCCTTTCCCAGTGTCCCATCCTCTCCCAGACTCTCTCTCCCCATACCCGGCTGGGCCATACCCCCGGCCCGCCCCTGGCCCCGGTAGGGCTGCCCCGTGCACGGTCCCGGGTGTCCCACCGCGGTCTCACCTCCGGCCGGCTCCGGCTGTGCTGGCGGTGGCGCTGCTGGGCGGGCATCAGTGCCTGGGGCTGTGGCGGCATCACCTCCCTTTGGCTTGGCCTGGCCTGAGCCCGGCCCCGGCCCCAGCCCTGGCCCCGGCTCCTCCCGGGGCCCGCGGAGGACACAGGCAGCGCGGCCGCTCCCTCCGCCTCCGCTGCGGCTTCCCCGGCCCGAGCTCCGCCGCTTGGCAGCGCGGCTGCTGGCCCCGAGCCGCCGCTGTCCCGTTCCCGGGAGCGAACGCCTGGGCATGGCCGGCCCGGGGCGCTCGGGGGCCCTTGCTGGCCCCGAGCTGAGCGCTGACAGCCGCGTCCCGCCCGCAGGGAAGGCGCAGCAGGGCCTGAAAGAGCAGGACAGGCTGGGCTCGCTGCCGGGGCGCAGCGGCTTCGGCAGCATCTTCGCGGCCACGCGGCTCTCGGACGGCGCCCCGGTGAGCGGCGGGGCCGGCGGCAGGTGCAGGAGAGGGGGTGGAGGAGGAGGAGGGCGGAGGATGGGGCTGGGCAGGGCGGGCGGCAAGCTGAGCCCACTGCTGCCCTTGGCTTGCAGGTGGCCATCAAAAGGGTGCCACGGAACCGCGTCCGGCACTGGGGCGGGCTGGTGAGTGAGCGGGGCCAGCGGCAGCAGCCGGGCCGTGCCGGGCGGGGATGAGCCGAGCCCCGGCAGGGTGGAAGCCGCCAGGACGCCCTGAGGGAGAGTGGGCGTGGGTCCAGCGCAGGGCGCAGAGCATCCCGGGCTGGCTGAGGGCTCCCCGAGCCCCGGCACAGCATCGGCCCCACTGAGGGCATCGTGCTCCTCCCGCAGCCCGACGGCACCAGCGCAGCCCTGGAGATTGTGCTGCTGGCCAAGGTGTCCACTGGCTTCCCTGGTGTGGTGCAGCTGCTGGAGTGGCTTGAGCTCCCCAACGACATCTTGATGGTGCTGGAGCACCCGGTGCGGTGTCAGGACCTGCAGCATTTCATTGGGGCACGGGGGTTCCTGCCCGAGGAGGTGGCGCGGGAGCTGTTCCGCCAGGTGCTGGAGGCCGTGCGGCACTGCACCAGCTGCGGGGTCCTGCACAGGGACATCAAACCAGAGAACATCCTGCTTGACCTGCACACCGGGCAGGCCAAATTGATTGACTTTGGCTGTGGCACCTACATGCAAGAGACAGCCTACACTCACTTTGCAAGTGAGCCCACGCAGGGGTGTGCTCCTGGTCCTGGCATCTCATGGCCCAAGATCTCACAGCCCAAGCTGGGTGTGGCAGCAGGGATTCTCTCTTTTGCTGCCCTTCATGGCACTGAGATTTCAGCTGAGTTGCTTTTGAGCAGGGCTGAGTGGGGAGCCAGCTTCCAGCCCTGCTGGCAGCTTTTGCCAGCCACTCTGCCCAGGACTGGGCCTGGGGCTGGGGCAGCCCAACAAAAACACCTGTGGGTGGGGTAGCAGAGACAGGGGGTAGAACCTGAGCCCCGGCCGGTTTGGTGTGCAGGTGAGAAAGGGCTTGGACTGCTCCACTCACCTGGTTTGCTTTGAGTTCATAATGTTTCTGGGGCAATGAAGGCAGGGAGGATGAGGGCATGGTTATAAATGGTGTTCAATTTGTGTTGCATTGGGGCTGGGTTGGGAATTGTTGTTTTGGGGTGAGTTGATGGGTGTTTGTTGTGGGTCCTGGGGAGGGGAGGTCCAGGGTTTGGTGTGGGGGTGATAGTCGAAGGGGGGCGGGAGGTGATTGGACAGGGGACTTGATCAATCATTTGACGCCCTGAGAAAATGATTGGTCCAGAATGAATATTGATAAGGATCAATGAGAACACCGGAAAATGACCAATCAACGTGCAGATCCAAACTCCACCAATCCTGGACCCGAGAAGGGTTATAAAATGAGGGTTTGGTTGGGTTGGGGTTCTTCTCCTTCTGAGGGATGTACTGTATGGGGGGGAACCCAGCGTGTTTGGGACATGTTGTTATCTTTGGGTTGTTGCGTGGGAGTTTGGGCTTATCTCAAACTCCCTGTCCTCTGTAGTTTGTTTTGATAAATGAGAGCCTATTTCCTTCTCAAAATCTGCCCTCATTCCAATTCATAACAGCATGTTTTTTCACCAGCACTGAGTGGGTTTTTCTTTGTCATGGTTGGGCCTTGCCAGAGTTTCCACAGCCCTCATCTAACACCAGTGGCTTCTTTCCCAACCCCAAGTCAACACAAGGTGCTGGTCAGAATGCAGTGGGTCACCCCGTGTGCCACTGGGGCAGCCCCCGCACGCCCAGGGATGCTGGGGCCAGGCTCTGGGAGCAGCAGCATCCCCCTGCTGAACTCCATCTGTATTCCATAGGAACACTGTCCTACAGCCCCCCGGAATGGACCCACTTTGGCTGTACTATGGCAAGCCAGCTACCATCTGGTCCCTGGGCATCCTGCTGCACCAGATGGTCTGTGGGGAGCACCCTTTCAGGAAGGGCCAGAACATCAGCTGGGACCATCAGCTCTCAATGCCACAAGGGCTCTCTCAAGGTGGATCCTCATCTCTGGCCATGGGGGGAATCCCAGTGCTGGGAGCCAGCAGCGGGCTCGTGGGCATCCCGCTCTGGCAGCTGCTGAGGAGGTGGCACATGTCCTGCTCTCCTGCTCTCCTCCAAAACAGGGATGTGATGGGAAAGCTTAGGCCCAGCTCTGAGCACATCCAGCACGGCCTGGATAGTGCTCAGAGGGGCAAAGCCAACAGGAGCCTTCTCCAACTGCCCGGCGGTTTCTGGTTTCTGTGCCCAGAGTGCCAAGATCTGATCAGGCGGTGTTTATCCATGCTGGACATGGAAAGGCCCTCATTGGAAGAGCTGCTTTGTCATCCTGGGATGCAGGATATTCATCTGCCCTAGAGGAAGGGAGAGAGCCACAGGCACACTTTGATGCAGGGCCCTGGTAATTTGCAGCTCCACACATGCCTGGGCAATGAGTAGCAAAGGAACCCAGACTTTTTTGTCCTGCCCGTGTCACTGCCCAGGGCTCATCAGATGGGAACACGCAGCCCTTGTGCTGGAGCTGAGCTGCTCTGCCCAGCACTGGTGGCTGCCATCCGAGCTGGTTTTGCTTGTCCTGGTTCCCTGACAGCTGGGGCCCTGGGCAGAGCCCTGAGAGTCTGGTCTCAGCCCAGGGAAGGAGAAGGAGCCCCTGGAGAAGCTGTACCAGGTGGGGCTGCTGCTGCTGGAGACAGCAAGGATGACACCAAGGATGACAACCTCTTCCTGGACCTGCCCACTGGCCAGCTGAAGATGCTGGACTTTGATTGGGGCATCTTCTCCAAAGCCAGGCTGCACAGGGAATTTGCAGATGAGTCCACACGCAGGGGGATGCTCCCAGATTTGGGCATTGCACAGCCTGGCCAGGAACCAAAGGTTCCCCCTTTGCTGGGGCGGGTGCAGCTGATCCTTCAGTCGCTGCCCAGCTGCTTTTGGCAGGGCTGGGGCATGGGCTGGGGTGGGAACAAAATGGGAGTGGGCTCCTGGCCCTGCCAACAGCCCCCAGCAGCCACCGTGCCCCGGGCTGGGGCTGGGGCTGGGGCAGCCAGCCCGACACAAACAAAGCCCCATGGTGGGAGCAGAGGTGGGACTCCAGAAGCTGTGCAGGGGCTGCTTTGCTGTGCAGGCAAGGAAGGGCTTGGGCTGCTCCACTGCCCTGGTTTGCTTTGGGATCACCGTTATTGTGGGGGGCAGTGCAGGGGGAAGGGAGAGAGACTGGGCTTCACTCACTCGTGGGTGGGTTTTTCCCAGGCATGCAGGGGTTGGGCCTTCCTCAAGCCCCTGGCAGAGATAAGATTTTTCACCTTTTTTCTTGTTTCCCCTTTTTGTCTGTAATCTATTTTCAATCATTTGTTGTATGTTTTCCTAGAGGAAGTGTTCCAGGTGGGCTCCAGTGTGGATGGGGAAGTGCTTGGGAGCAGCTGCAGCGTGGATGGGCCGTGCCCTTGGAGAAGGCTGAGGACATCGTTTGGGACCAGCTTTTCTTCCAGCGGGGGAGGGCGTGAGGTGGGTCCCCGTCTGCTTGGCAGGGTGGGATCAGAGCTTTTGGGAGATGGCAGCGAGCACAGGAGCATCCTGCTCTGGGCAGCTGCTGAGGGCTGGATGTGCCCTGGCTGGCTGCAGGCTGGGCACATGTCCTGCCCTCCTGCTCTGTGCCAAAGGCCGCAGGGATGGGCAGCTCTGGGCACCGCTCTGGGCACGGCCAGCATGGCCTGGGCACCGCGGGCGGCTGGGACAAGGGCACAGGAGCCTTCAGCTGACGGGCGGTTTCTGCTTTCTCTCCTTGATGCCCCTCACCATGAGGAAGGCAGAGCCCCAGGTTTAGGGACTCATCCTGTCACTGGCTGAGGAGCAGCAATGTCTCAGAGGTCCAGTGGGATTTTAGTGTCATTCAAAGCTGCTCTCCAGCCCTCAGCTCTCCTCACTGCTGAGCTCCCTCTCCCTTTTCCTCGTCCTTGCAGCAGGATGAGCTCTGTGAATCCCCTTGAGCCTCCCCACTCTTCCCAGCCCACACACCCACCTCAGTTAGGCTGAAGCTGAAGCTTCTCTGTCTCCTGTGGCACACCAGCCCAGTGCCCTGTGCAGGGAGCCCCAGCCCCAGAGCACAGCACACAACAGTGCAGTCCGGGCTGCAGCAGCTGCCCTGCAGCCCTGGCTTGGCTGTTTGTGGCAAGGGAATGCTCCCTGTGTCCAGCTGTCCCTGCAGGATGGCCCCAGGGCAGAGCCCAGCCGGGCTCCCACTGCAGCCCCTGGAGCTTGAGGCAGACAGTGGTCCCAGAGCTGGGGTTCCTGGGGAGCACCCGGAGCTGTGCCTTGCACTCTGTTGCCGTGTGTCACAGTGCAGGCTGGCTCGTGCTGTGTGAATGCACCAGCCCTGGTTTGACTGCCAGGGGCCTCGCCCAGTCACATCTCTCCCAGGGCTGCAGCATTTCACTGGCCAGAATCTGACAAGGCATAGAGATCAGAGCAATGAAATTATCCAGACTGGGTTTCTCAAAGGCCCTTTAGAAGAAAGGGCTTGAGAATAAATGCTCTCTGTTTGCCACATGAACATCGGGGTGAGTGCTCTCTCTGTCTCCAACCCACTCCCCCTCCAGCAAACGTGACAGACACCCACTCCCTCACACATCCCACTCGTGCTTCCCCACTGCCGTGTCCTGTCAGGGCTTCCCAGCCCCTCATCCCTTCATGGCCCCAGCCCTTCAGGGGCTGCCCCAGCCCGGCCAAGCTGCCCGGCAGCAGCGCCGCAGCCCCACAGCAGCTCCAGAGGAGCCCCATCCAGAGGCAGCCGGGAGCCCTCAGCAATCCAGCCAGCAGCACACGGGCAGGAGGACACAGAGGGCGCTTCCTGCCTGGCACAGGGCTTGTGGCCATCTCCAGGCACCGCTCTCACAGGGATCCCCGCAGCTCCGGCCCCTGCCAAGCCACTCTGTCACCAGCACAAAAACTTCCACAGAACCACCAAAGGCCAAGGGGCTTCTGGCCATTTTCCCTGCAACACTGCACGCCTGGGCAGCTGGCCCAGCCCAGGCACACTTCTCCCCCTCTTCCCCTAAGCCCTGCAGAGCCTGGGTAGCAAAAGAAAGCTCCTGGGAGTCTGTGTATTATAACAAACTCTATATTCATATACTAAAGAAAAACCAAAAGGAAGAAAAGAACAATCTGAAAGGAATGGAAAATTCCCCCTGCCTCAGGTGGTCCCAGCAGACAGAGCCTCTGGCATCAGCTCTCTGCAGAGCTGCAGCAGCGCAGCCAGCCGAGCGCCGAGAGACGAGGCCGAGTCCTCCATGCCCTGCGGACCTGATCTTGCAGCCTCTGGAAGACGGAATATGGCTCACTCTGCAGTGCCTGGAGGACATCCAATGTTGCAAGTGCCACGTCTGAGACGGTGCTGCTGGTGTCCTCTGTCAGGTGTAGAAGGGCTGAAAGAGAGAGGGACAGAGCCATGGTCAGATGCCGCATCTGCAGGGAGCCGAGGAGAGCGCCCTGGCAGGCCATGGCAGCCGGCTCTAGCCATGGCCAGGAGGGAGCAGGCACCAAGGGGACCAGCCCGAAGCTGCTGGCCACAAATGCCCCGGGTGGCCCTGAAATCTCTGTGTGCTCTGCCCACGCCAGCCCTGGTGCGCACAGGGAGCAGAGCCCTCGGCAGCCGGGGAAGGGCTTGCAGCTCCCCCGGCAGCCCCCGCTGGCCTCACTCACCGTTGCAGATCAGCCGGAGCTCTTCCTTCTTCCCCCTCAGGTGCCACGTGGCCATCCCTGTGAACACAGAGCCTGTGAGGGCGCCAGCGGCACAGCTCCCTGCCAGCGGCGCTGCCGGCGCTGTGGCCACACGGGCTGCTGACCCGGCAGGGCTCAGCCCGGCCCTTGGCGCACGCTGCCGCCCCAGGGCACGGCTGCCAGAGGGCGGCAGCAGCAATGCCCAGGCCAGCCGGGGCTCCACGGCGCCGGGCCCGGCTGGCGCTGCCGGGGCAGCAGGCGGGGCTGGGGCCGAGCTGCGGCGGGCCGGGCCGGGGAGGGAGCCCGGGCTCGTGGCTCACCCATGAAGCTGATGGCCGCCGCTCGCAGGGACTCCTGTGGGCTCTGCAGGTAGCGCAGGGCCTGGTGCAGGTGCTCGGCCGCTCTGCTGCTGTCCTCTGCCAGCTGGAGAGAGCGGCAGGAGGGAAGGCATGGCGCGGGCTCAGCCCCTGGGCCAGGCGCTGCCTGCACCGCCCTCAGGGGGCTTCTCTGGGCTGACCCTGGGGCTTCCAGGCCCTCCTTACCAGGCACTCGCTGAACTTCCACAGATTCTGGCCCTTCACCAGTCTTTCAAGATCCTTCCTGTTCAGGAACTTGGCCACACAAAGCAGCAATTCCTGAGAAGCCTGGAGAGCAGCAGAGACGCGGAGATGGCTCCACAGCCCAGGGCGCAGGACCCGCGTCCCTGGGCCAAGGCCTGCAGGAGGCTGCAGCCCGGCAGGCGCCAGGCCAGGAGGCAGCCGAGCCCCCTGCCAGGGGGACAGCAGCAGCCCACGAGTCCTCACCTGTGCCACAAGCCGATTGCCATCATGGCCGTGGAAGAAGAGGGGCAGCAGGCTCTGGCGCAGGGCTGTCTTCAGGGCCTTTTTTTCCCTTTTTTCCCTTTCCTGTGGAAGAGTCACCAACGTTTGGAAGAGCAGGAAGGAGATCAGCTGAACCTGCCAATTGTTCTGTATGGAAGCAAGAAGACAAGACCTCAGCATTGCGGCTGCACGGGGCTCAGCTTGGCGCAGGCCTGCAAATGCACAGGACACAGTGTGCGGGCAGCAGCCAGTGGCCGTGGCTGGGGGCAGTGAGCCTTACGTGGTCAAAGAGTGGCAGGAGCGCCTCAAGCAGCTGCAGTGTGATGGGGCCGGGCATCAGTGTGTCGTTGTCCAAGATGATAAAGCTGAGTAGCATGACTGTCATGAAAACTATCTCTCCATCCGCATCCCACAGGAACTGCACAAGACTTTCAGTCAGGCTCCACATTTTTTTGGTCTGTGTGGAACACAAGTTTGTGAAATGCCATCCTGCTGCCGCAGGGCCCAGAGGCCAAAGGCCTGTCCCGAAGCACTGGGGCAGCTGAACTGGGAGGCAGGAGAGCTGGGAGCAGCTGCCCCGAGCGCCCAAAGCCCTGCCAAGCCCAAGCGACTGCATTCCCCAGCTCAGCCTCAGCTGCTGCCCCTTTTTCACCATTAAGGGCTCCTCAATGAGCTCAAGAAGGGCCCTGAGCGCCAGGCGACGCCTCTCTCTGCACTCGCTCTGCAGCTGCCTTGACAAGATTGGCAGGACTCTGTTAGCACCACGTTGACTCAAGTCCAGGAACTGGAGGACCTGAAAGGCACAGGGCAGTGACAGGGGAGCCGGCTGGCAGGAGCCTGGAGCCGCACAGGCCTGGGCCCAGGCAGCAGCACAGGGCGCGGGCATCGTCCCAGGCAGCTGCAGCTCACAGAGGGCAGAGAGCTGGGAGGCAGCTGAGGCAGGCAGCGCTGGCCATCAGGCTCACCTCCACAAGGAAGGCCAGGCCGGGCAGCTCCCAGCGTGGCTCCTGTGTGCTGAGCAGCTGCAGCAGGTAGCGAGCGATGCGGGAGCACAAGGGGATGGAGACACAGCACATCTCCCTGGCAGGAGAAAAAGGAGCCAAGCCTGTGGGCCAGGGGGACAAAGCTCTGCCAGGACTGACGCACAGAGCTCTGCTCTTTCGCCAGCATCCTGCAAGGGGCCCTGGGCTATTTGGGAGGCAGCTCCTGCTGGGCACCCTCCTCTGCCAGCCTTTTCCAGTCTGCTTGGCCATCCCTCAATGACAAGGCCCTCTGACCCACAACCACAGGGACTGTGTGGAGCTCCCTGGGCCCGGAGCACAAATGTCAGAGGCTGTGGGGAGAAGGGGCTCTCACCTGGCCAGCAGAGCCACGGCATAGTGGTGGGTGTCAGCACACAGCAGCGTGTCCCAGCCACAGTTGCCTTCCATTGCCACCACCACATCCTCGTGCCGCATGCGGCAGAGCAGGGACTTCAGGGTCCGCACCGCAAACCTGCGTGCACAGCAAAGGCCAGGTGACGCTGGGAGCACTGGCTCCTGCCCAGGGACATGGCAGGGACAGGAGGAGTGGGATGGAGCACCTGTTGGGGCTGGTGGCAAGGCCGTATTCCTCCTGGCATCCTTTCCAGAAGGCATGGACCTCCTCTGGCATATCCAGAGTGCTGAAGAACACTTGGGAGAGCAGATGCACAAAGAGGCGAGGGAAATAGACCGTCACCATATGTGGGACACAGGGCACCTGGAGGATCTTCCACATCACCACGGTTGCCTGCAAAGGACAAAGCCCCTGAGACAGCGCTCAGTGCCCAGGTGTCCGTGTGGCAGGGCCCGAGCTTGGCAGGGAGAGGCCCGGAGAGACACAGGGGGAGCACGGGGCCTGCTGGGCCTGGAGCTGCCCCTGGGCCAGGTTTCAGGCCAGCGCCTGCGGCAGGGAGATGCAGTGGGGGAAGGAGGATGGAGAGCTGCTGGAGAGGCGGCCATGGGGCCAGCAAAGGCCAGTTAGAGAAACTCACAGCCAGGACAAAGACACCCGTTTTGTCCCCGTCGGAGGTGCACGTGCTGTGCTTGGGCCAGCTGCCCAGCACATGCAGGAGGATCAGCAGCGCCAGCTCTGCAGTCCTGGGCGAGCACATGATGCTCTTCCACATGGTGAAAGCAGCTCTGTGGGGTTAGAGCTCTGTCTCAGGGGGGTCTCAGACACAGCACCGGGGCCTGGGCAGCAGTGGGGACCTGAGCTGGCTGCCAGCTCTGCCTCTGCCCACTGCCACTGGCCAGCAGCACCCAGGCAGCCCAGGCCTGTGGGGACAGGCCCCTGAGGGGCAGTGAGGGAGCATGGCAGCAGGCTCGAGGCCTGACGTGTAGCGGTTGGCAAAGGGAGCAGCCAGAGGGCCCTGGAACCCTCTGTTTCTTGGACACCTGGGCCAGGCTGTACAGGCTGATGGGCTGGGG